ATATATATATATATATATATATATATATATATATATATATAAACAAAAGAAGTAATTTTTAAGAGATCAATCACTAAAATATGCCTAAAAAATCACCGTAGGAAATGAGCACAAATATAAAATTGCAAAATTAATTTATGCGCTGCCCCAATGGGCCTTTTAATTTAGTATACATATTAAGAAAATATACTTTGGCCAAAATACTAATGAAGTATTTTTTGCATAAAGTATTGTATTGAGACTACCAATAAATCAGTAAAATGAGATGTATTCACCCAATTTCGTCTAAGGTGATGAAGGACTGGTAGAAGAATTTCCCCACAATGATATGAGTTGAGTTGACGTTTACATTGAATTTCACATAGTCTTGCTCATAGTCTTCTCATCCAGGCACAAGTGGACTACAGCTTCGACCTCGCATTGGTCTTATCAACACCCTTAGCGGGAGTCGAACCTCGACAGTGCAGGATGAGAGCTTGACACGCTAACCATTCGGCTATACTGCCACGAGCGCCTTTTGGGTCACAGGGCAAATGTGAATTTTCAAAGAATGCCAGGCCTTTTTGCCATATCATATTCTTTGATGAGATTGTCGATGAAACAAATGTATATTTGCTATAACAATCGACTACTATATTTTATTTTTCGCATTAAGTATTGTCTGGGAAGGTACCACATCCACGGTCCTACTCTGGAAATGATGATGCATACAATGGACTCCGGTCTAGGTGCGTTCCTTTATGTCTTCCAACCATTATGACCAAGTTGCGAAAACAAGGTCATACAATTTCCAAACATATATTTGCTATAATAATCGATTATTATACTTTATTTTTCGCAATAAGTATTCTTCTACCAGTCCTTCATTACCTTAAACGAAACTTTGTGAATACATCTCATATTACTGCTTTACTGGTAGTCTCGAAACAATACTTAATGCGAAAAATAAAATATAGTAGTCGATTGTTATAGCAGATATACGTTTGCTTCATCCACAATTCCAGCAAAAGAATAATATATGGCAAAAAGGCGTGGTATTCCTGCAAAATTCACATTAGCTCTGTGACCCAAAAGGCGCTCGTGGCAGTTTAGCCGAGTGGTTAGCGTGTCAAGCTCCCATACGGCACTGTCGCGGTTCGACTCCCGCTGAGAGAGTTGATAAGACCGATGCGAGGTCGAAACTGCAGTTCACTTCTGTCTGGATGAGAACAACTTTTGGTAAAACAAGGCTATGTGAAACCCTATGGAAACGTCAGCTCAACTCATATCATTTTGGGAACATTCTTCTTCTACCAGTCCTTCATCACCCTAAACGAAATTGGGTGAATACATCTTATATTACTAATAAAGTAGGCAAAATAGCAAAATGCGCGCTGAATTTTTGTATTTTCTAAAAATCTCTTAAAGACTGTAGTTAAATTGCATTTCTTTTTATCGCCCCAATTGATTTCACGTAAACATGATAATTAGCTATTTAAATTATGATAACGAAACTAAGTAAAGTAACTCCTAATAAATTTACTATTAAATTTATAAAACTTCTTACGGGCCAGAAATGAGATAAGGAATTTTATAGCAATAAACGAGTTAGTTGACAATACTTTAAATCTATAGGGTATTCCGTGAATGAGATAAATTAAATACACACGTGCAAGCTTGAAAAAAATTATGTGGTTTGACCTCTCTCTTGTAGCTTGGGGGTATTATCAGGAAAGATTTAAGTGAAAACAACTTATCCGGAGTGCTCTGACATAGATTTCATGATAGTTTCTAGCATCGGACAATAGACTTCATTGATTCCCCGACGTTTCATCGGCATTATAAGCAGCATCCTCAGTGAAGCTTGTCATTTTTGGCATCATACTACTTCTCATCAGTGTCGTATTAAAGTAACCATTAGGAATATTTTACTGATCTAGGACATTGGTCTTATTTTTTTCTTTCGGTAGTAACAAAATATTATAAGTAATAAAGATTTCCTTTCTGTATTACAGAAGTATGATACAAAAAACTAGATGGCTTATAGCTCATCTCTTCATGTAAACCCGCCCATTTTTAAGAGATTTTCTTGCTTATTAGAAAATTAATTTGTAGCACAGCGTTTATGAACTTAGTAAAATCCTGTTTTCGAATAATAAACTATATCTTTTCCCACTTATCAACCTATACCAAAGCATATATTAGCCCGACAACTCTGACTAGCAGACGAGCGATTATACCGTCTATAGTTCCTGTTGTCCTTCTTGCAAGCAATTATGCGTAAAGCATATGATCAGATTCTTAAAGCCATTACACTAGTCTTGTCCACATCTCTTTCTTCACTTTATTCAAGGATACACCTATGCACCCCACATTTCACGCTCTACCAGATGAAGTATTTAGCACTCCTAGTCTATCTGCACCTTTCCGCGACTAGTATCAATGTCACCTAAGCAATCGTTATCTAAGCTTATCTGACGTATGTTTTACTCCCAAAAAACTTTGCATGATTATTTTCCTATTCTACTGTCTATAACCAATCAATGGTTCACAATACCATACATTTACTATTTTAATCTTTAAATCCTAAATGTATCCATCTTACATATCAGCTCTTCCAGCTATTTTTAAATATTTAAGCTATTTCCTTTTCTTATATTTTTTTCAGAAAGAGGACCTAGGACAAGCGATGAATAGGCGGCATTCACTTATGAAGCCCGAAGCACTTGATGGAAAACCTATGTTTCAGAAAGCTATACCGCTATCCGGCATCGCTGACATAGCGATAGCAACACCTAATCCTGAAGCAAAAGAGGTAGAATGCTGTCCACTCGAAATTGGAGACAACGGTGTGGCTTTTCCCCTATACACAATATCTGAGCAGAAACTAGCTGATAACAAGGATATGAGGTAAGCATGGTAGAATAAGACTATAACCCATTAAAGAAAGGCTCGATCCTGTTTTCGAATAATTATTTGTTAAGAAGAACGATGCCTTATAAAGGCAAATAATTTTAATAATACAGAATAGCTTATAGTTGCATAAAAGCAAGATAATATGAAAGAAATTAGCTCTCGTATTGAACCCCTTTAAGTTAATAATTCTTCTCATCATTTTACTTAGATAAATATATTTTAATTGTTAATTAAATAATCTTACAACTACTGAGCTGAAGACAAATTAATTTAGTAAGTAAGTAGTATAAATTCTAAAGTATTTATGGATGAAAGCCAACTGCGAATATTATTAACTCGAGTTCAAATTTGATATAATTTAATATTTAGTATTTTAACAGTTATGGTTGGACGAATAAAAAAATAAAAGTATTAAGAAAGTAGTAGCCACAGTAAATTAGTTGCTAAAATACAAAGGCACTTGTATCTCTAGAATACAGCCACAAAATTATGTAAGGAAGAAATAGGGCAGAATTTTAAAACCAAGGGGCAATAAGATTGGCAAATTTGCTGTTAACTATAAATTAAATGACAATGGGGCTATAGCATCTGTAAAGTGGATATAAAGGCAAAAACATACTCCCGAACTATATATTAATCTGAAAAGATAAATATATTCTTAGGGAATTAAAGAAATTCTTTCTGACCATATGACTACACCTAGTAAAAAAATCTTTAAACTGCATTAGCGTGCAGAAATTATGACCAATTTTTGCTTGCAAAGGCTTCGGTGTTTTATTATTACACTGTTTTTTTATGAAAATGGATCTTCCACGGCAAAAATCTTAAACTCTAAATTCCTCTTTGACGCCTATAAACCCATGGACACTACTGTCTCCAGCACGCTAATTTAATATCTATTAAATGCCATTTACGTCCTTACTAAAATTAGAACTAAGTACAATGATAGAATTATTTAACTTATGACTTTATCATAACTTTCCCTATGCAATTTCAAATCGAAAGTAGAATATATTGAGAAGGCAAAATCTATTAAATTTTGATTTTTCCTTGTTTTTCAACTTGGTCGGAGCATCGGATCAGCACCGGTGCATTGACTTGGTCCATTCCCAGACGTTGTACCTTCATCTTAGTTTGCGTCGTTAGTTAGAAACGCCATCCCTAGCACAGAGTTTCAACTCATAAAGTTACAAGTGAAAGCAATCCGCTTGAGCAACTTTGTGTTTAATTGTTCTGGCATCACTTCTCCTTTTTTTGTATTCGCTTCTATGGCTGATTTCCTTTCACTTAATCCCACTTCATTTTACAGATTTTTCTATCTAGTCTATTATTATTCTCGTTTACTTCAATGTCGCCACTTCAAATGGATTAAGTGGAGCATATTTACATTCAACAACGGTTTCCAGTGCGCCCTCAGGGCTTATGACGTTAATTCAGCCTCCCCCAATTCCACTCATCAGTTGTTCCATGCCACACATGCTACTAATTGTTTATCTGTCTGCATATAAAACTTCCATTCCTGTCTTCCTTAGTTGATAGTCGAGGATATTCGAGAATTCTCATACCCATGCTTCTTCTTCTCACCAGGCTTTGGGCTCATTACTCAGATATCCTCTTACTTAAATCCATCCATCCCTTTCTCATTCTCTGGGACCGAATGTCTAGCTGGGTTCGAAAGCACGTAAATCGCACTCCTCTTGTCTCTTAAGTTGACGGCCACACCTAATTCTATGATTCTGGTTAGTTGTGCATGAATACGCTGGTTGGTAACTTCCCTATTAAGCATGCTAAAAGTGATAAGTCATCCCCCACTACATGCACGAGTGAGAAAAATTCCCACTCACACACGTATACAGTAGGAACAACATATATATTGTATCCATAGCTCGGTTTCTACACCAAAGTCAAACTTAATTAGATTAGGGTCTTCAGGATCTATCAATGGACCTTGATCCTAGCGCTTTTAGTGTCGTACAATTTAAAGTTTATGTCGTTAATTTCATATCTTAGAGGTTGACCCACACCTGTAACTTTAAAGCTGATTTATACTGATCTTCATACTACTGTTTGCCAATCAAGTCAGTCACAGATTTCCAGAGAATAAAAGAAGCGAGTTGCTATGAAAAAAAACAATAGCCGGCTCATGGATCTGAAGCCTAGGAAGCGAAAGATGCCAAAACATGAAAATCCTCGACTATCCTTACCTATATATGAAATGTATTCACCATATTTCGTTTAAGGTGGTGAAGGACTATTATGTAATCGGGTAGCAGAAGTCAAATTTCATATGCAGTCATATAAACAGTGATTTGTATATTTAGTGACATGTGAGGTGTAGGGGACCTGAATGAAGGTTATAAGCCCTGCGAAAGGCATCTCATTCAATGGTAAAAATTATTATTCTT